AAAATAATCGTCCGATTCATCAATTTTTAAAATAATCGTTAGTTGCAGCCCTAGTATATATATATAGCCTCTAGGTGACATGATTCAGTAGTTGACTCTGGCGCAGACACAACGCGAGTCAGGAAGAAGTTTAGAATGTTTATTGAAAAGTTTTACAGAAAGATTGTTCGGCCTGGTGTGGTGGTTTGGGCAACAGCGGCTTAATCAGGAACTGCAAGGGGAGAGAGATCAGTTAGATGCTGGCAGGAGGATCTGAGTTATTAAGAGTAGATGCTGATTCCTTACAGTTCTTGGAGAGCGGAGCAGCTGGAGGGGAGGTTGGATGAGCCCACTGAGATTGAGTTTGACTGAGATGGAAGGGCTTCGGCTTGAGAGCTCCAGAGGGTGGACAGGCAGGTGAGCAATCGAGGATGGATCCAGGGGGACTGAGTGGAGAACTGCAAGGCTTCTAGGAGAGAGAAGGAGGACACAGAGGTAAGCTTGAGTCTAAGCAATCAGTTCAGTCTGATTGGCAGAGGCCACTATGGTGTCAGTCTCTGCTGGCAGTGGCCACTACGCTGACACTATGATGGCACTATGGCAGTCCACTATGGGGGCCACTTATTTTCAGATGAACTACTTAGTTCCATCAAGTAATTGTGACTTTATAAAAGTTTTAATGCAGGATACATCACAATAACATCACAGTATTAAAAAAACTATCTACTTAGAGGCACTATAAGTAAGTTATTTGCCAAAAAACTGCAAGAAAAAGAAAAAAATAAATGAATAAATAAGGCATTTGCCCAAAAACAGCAAGAAAAAGAAATAAAAAAATATATGAATAAATAAAGTATTTACCAAAAAACGGCAAGAAGAAGAACTAAAAAAGAAAATAAGTTATTTAACGAAAACCGGCTTCTGCAGCCACCAAAACGGTGTCAGTAAACCTGGGAGTCGCTCGGGCAGCCTACTGGCAGGACAGCCGGACTGTCATCATGGTGGCTGCGTAGTGATCGTGCCCGGAGAGGCTGCGTAGTGGCCGGTGGTGATGGCTGCCGGCAAATGCTGCCCCCGGAGTGGCCGGTGGTTTTAATGCAGTTTATTAAGCAATGACATCACAATATTAAGAAAAAAAAAACAATCTAGTTAGAAGCACTATAAATGAGGCATTTGCCGAAAAACGGCAAGAAAAATACCCAAAAAAAGTGATTAAAAAACTACATGGAAAAATAATTTAATGGCTGCTGCCAGTAATACGCCGTGCC